AGGCGGTATACTGACTTGCAGGTACCAACAACAGCAGCGCCCTCGGTGTCAGCATATATGTTGCCAGTGGCGTACTAAAACTTTGCCTGGGTAACTCACACCCAACCTCACCAGTTACGGGTTAAGCTTCGTTTTTTGACTTTTCAATGGCTCCTGATGATTTTTTCGGATTTTTTGTAGGGGTTAAAATTGGGGGTTGGGGGTTATACTGGGTGGGGGAAAGCATATCTCAATTTCTTTGATTCGCCATTCGTTTGAAGTGCACGCCTTGTTTTTTAACTGTTCAGTATGTTCTTCCAATCCTAGGTGTAAGCTAGGTGCTTATTGCGAATTCGAACAAAACTTATTTCAAGATAGAAGTTTTATCTTGGCTATGGCTGTTCTGATTGTCCGCAGGTTGTAGACGTTCCTGACTGTCGAACGCGGAGGTACCACCCGGCGGATCGTGTAGGCGGGGCCAGAATGTGTGCATGTTACATGCGCACGTGTTCCCTCGCTAGGGTCTGTGTCGCGTCCCCCCCTTTCTCCTGTATCTCCCTATAGCCACACGGTACGCAATGGGTGTTTAGCCCTTCGTGGTGGTTAGAGTATAAAAAAATGTATTCCATCTGAGCAGTCGTTTGATTTTCACTGAGAATAGTATGAAATGTTCTGTGTAGAAAGCCTACCTAATAATAGGTAATAATAAAAATATTCCTAAACACTGCCTTTTGTTTACATTTAATACTAATAGTCGATGCTTTCAATCAAAACAGCCATTTCAGTATTTCTAGAACTATAAAATACTTTCAATTGGTTTTTTCACGCTTGCGCGCCTTTGCGCACGTCTAGAGGTTCATTGTTAGTGATCTGCTCAATTAAATCAAGTAAATTGTAGGTTGCAAGGTGTTTACTGCACTTTTAATGTTCATCGTTAAGGTATTCGGTATAGAAAAACTGTATAAAAGAAATTGAACAGATTATTAGAGCTTTTCATTTTACTTCCTACGTCACTGGGCGAGTATATTTATATGCTGCCAGCTCTGGTAATTCTACGCACCTATTAGACATATACTTCCCACATCTTAGGTTTCGGCATACATTTGTCATTAAAACTTGATAGACATGTTTTCAATTGCGTCTCCTTCGGCTATGTGAGCTGAGCGCCTCGCGCAACTATCTTCTAGATCAGTAGTCGCCAACCTTTTCAGTGTGTTGAGCTACTTTGATAATTTTGGGATAAACAGTGAGCTACCTAGTCGTAAGCAATGCAAGCCAAATTGAATGAAATTATACAGAGTTGTATGCGACATACATGTGTTTATTTTACCAATAGTACTTCATACTAATAAACTTGAATAAACTAATAACTAATACATATACTACATAACTACATCCATTCCTACCAATCGTAGGTGTTTGCAAAATGAACGAAATTTTTCGTCAGCTTCAATGCCATGGAACATACGATTCAATAAAGGTAACTAAAAATAAAAAAGCGACGCACTACTTTAGATAAAAAATGCGGGTTCAAGCCTGACACTCAAACTCACTGACAATTTTTTTAATGTTTCGAGTATAATTTGACACCGCCATTCGAATACAATTATCCAAATGTTCATCTGTAAGTCAATTACGGTATTTGTTTTTAATAAACTTCATATTTGAAAAAGAAGTTTCACACAAATTGGTTGAACTAAATAACGCTTTTACTTTCAAGGTAACACGACAAAATACTGAATATATATCTTTACTTATTGAAGACCAGATACATTTTGTACTTGAGACTAATGATTTTAAGGCTAAACCGTTTTGAAACGCAATTACTTCCGTTTCCGTCGCAGCGGTGTCTTCGCTAAAATTCTGCATAACAGAAGTTGCAAACTGTTGGATATCAATTTCCATGAAGGGTGAAACAACAAATTGTGCCACAATAGCAATTCCGTTAAAATCTTTGAAATGATTGTTGAAGGTATCCTTTATGTTAGAGACTATTTCTACATGATATTTACTATCATATGGTTCTAATGGACTTTGAGATATCTTTTCTGAAAGAACAGGAAAATGACTGGTATCGCCATCGATTAAGTTTTATTCCTAAAACTCAAGCTTTTTGATGAACAATTCATTTCTGCTAGTTCTTTGTCTCTCCCCTGAAGCTGCAAATTAAGTTCATTTAATTATGGCAGATATGATCATTAAAACGTTTCAGCACTTGTCCCCTACTTCACCATCGGACTTCAGAGCGAAGAAGTAGTTCCCCGTATTGACAGTCAATTTCATCGGCCAAAGTTTTGAATAATGTTCTTTGTAACGCTTGAGCTCTAATCTTGTTCACAATTTTTACTAAAAATTTCATAACCTTTTTTAGTTTTAGAAAATGTCCACGTAACGCTTGCGAATAATGCAGTGGTAACAGAGAAATTGCGGAAAACTTTAATCTTTACAACATAACCCCACGAGAAATACTATTTTTAAAGGAAGAAAACAAGCCCAGTAGTCTGTCCTTTTAGCGGAATAATCTTCCAAAAGATCTTCTTTAATCGTAAAATCACTAAAAACCATCCTGACGAACAAGGCCATCTGAGGATTCATCCAGCTGCAGTAAAAAATAAACAGATATCGAAGTCATTTCTTAACTGTAATACTATATCATTGCTCATTACTTCTATTCGTCTCATCACTGTATTAGCAGAAAGTTGCATAGATTTTATAGCAGACACTATCTCGTCGTTATTTATGAAGTTGGCAAATAATGAATCTGCAGCTTCTAAAAACGCCTGTTTCATCATTTCCCCGTTTTCATAAGTTTTCTTCTTTTGTGTAATTATTTGGGACACACGGTATGATGCCTCAGTTGCAGCCTTACTTTTGTGGATTGTTTTTAAAAACATTGTCTGCTGTCCAATTAACTGATGTTTTAATTGTTTAAGTTTTTCCGTTCTGGTTGCAGAGCGTATTGGGAATGATTTTTCAAAATTCGAATGTACAGTTTTATAGTGCCTCTCGATATTCCGTTTTTTAGCAACGGAAACAAATTTATAGCATAACAAACATACATTTTTACCTTTTACTTCTGTAAAGAAATATTGTTCTTCCTATTCCGAATGGAAATGGTATGTCTTGAACTTCTTGCTACTGCTCATAATGTGTTTAATTGCAGGCCAACTCTAAACCAACCGCAGTTTTAAACTGAGCGCACTGTTGCCGCGTCTTGCGTATTTATACCGTTCAAAGTAATCGAGATCGTTCTCGAACAGATCGCTCACCGCAGAGTTGCCGCTGCTTGTGTTTATTATGAGAATTTACAAAATTTAGGGAAACTTCTAAGATTTTTTTGAATTGCCTACCGGTAGCTCGCAATCGACGGGTTGGCGACCGCTGTTCTAGATTGCTCTTTTCGTAATGTGGCGGTGCTTCGTTGGGGGCTTCCGCGTTCGACGATATGTGAAGGGGCAACGTTGTCAAATGGCGGCATCTACCGGTAGTGCAGGGAAAGAATGTACTAGTTGTATGGGCCCGATTGATTCAATTGATCGGTTTAATATTTATTCTGTGCATGTTTGAAACTATTTTGTTTTCCTAGGGTTTAACTTTCGCTTTATGAACTGATAACGACGTTCGATGAGATGTGCAAAGTCAGCCTACTTGATGCCATTTTTTTAAGTAAAATGGTTGATTCTTTGATCATATGGGTAATAAGGATTATCAACAGTATTATAGACAAAACGTGAATGCTTACACTGTTGGAGAACAAAGTATACTATTTCATTACCTTCTTCGCGGTTTGAATGGTCCATGCTGGTTCATTAAAGAAAAAATGGCGTCAATAGTGTAGACTCTGCATTTCCGAAGCAACGCCTTCATTAGTTCAAATTGAGTATGTTTGGCAAAAGTCACCCCCTATTAGAGATAAGTTAGGTACGGGGTCGGCATCAAGGGTTAAAGGTGGCTTTGCCTGCCCACCACTACTACTAGCCACGAACATGTATAACACAAGAATTAAATGTATCAAGTAAGACAAACAGGCAGATACAAGTAGTTCATAGTGCATTTGACATTTGATAACATTCTGATCTAGAAATGTCTCCGCTAATGACAGAAGCGACCAACCGGCAATTTGGCAACGTTGGTGTGACTAACATCGCCACTCGCCATCCTAGCACGACGTTGCATCCACCCATTATCCGTCAAAAGTCGGGCAACCCTCGAAGCAGGTAGATTTACGTTCGTTTACTGGATGCACATCTTGGAAATATATCTCTATGATTCTAAATTTTAAGGGCAAATGTACTTGAAACCTTTGACGTATGAAATATGTGTACTAAGTTTATACTGACGCCAAAAAAATTATACATGTCCCCCCCCTACAACTCCAAATTGGTAACCCCTACATAAATATCTCCGTTTAAGCGATTTTTATTTTTCATCTTTTGCCTCTTGTTCCGCCGCCACTAAACCGATTTTAAAAAATAGAAAAGCTTTCATCCTTGGCATAGTAGTAACCTTGTGTGTGAATCGCATCAAAATGACAGAGACCGACAGACAGACCGATTGAAGTTTCGTGTTGAATATGTTACATAACATCTAAAAAACAATCTTATTTCAAAAAATGTTCGCGATTACAATACTGCCTTGCCAGTGCGTCGGGCAAATGGGAGGTACAGATAGGAAATCAGAGCAGGAGAATGCTTAAATTTTGGTAATTTTTAATGTCGCATATTTAATTTAGAAACGGATTCAAAATGGACAAAAATATGAAATGTCATAGTACCTCTGACGGAAACCAAAAAAGACTTGTTGTAAATTATTTGCATTCAAGATTTACGATGAATACAACAGATTTATGCTTATATTGGATTTTTATGCTATTAAAACTTTAAATAGATTTAAGGAAGTCTAAAATTATTTACGTTGTTGCTTTTCTACCGGTTACCTAGTATTTGATTCAAGATAATTTGTTCAACAGATTTAAGATAGAAGTTTTTCAGAACATGAGTGTGAGTTTTATTTACTTCCAGGCGTTGAGCCCAGCACAAATCCATTCTCAGTTGTCAGCTCAAGCGAAGGAAGCCTTCGCATCAGCTAGGAAGCCACAACAGGCCTACTACAGACCTATCCCTGCTGTCCCAGTCCATGTGCAACCTGCCGCAGCGGCTGCTGGGCATCCTAGACAAGTTTCAGTACCTCAAGTAAGGAATGCCTTGACGTCTCTCTTGTAATCTGGTTTGAAGGATGGAAATCCTTTTACTTTGATATAAGGCCATGGAGTAGAATGAATATCAATTAAAAAAGTATTGATTTGGAAAAATAAAATCATGGACTTTGAATATGCACGATCTGAGTCAACTTTCTTCCGTTCTGGTATCTTTTATATTTTGTTTTTTTTTTAAATTGTCGAGGACAACTTCCGTACACCCTGTTGCGGTACTGCGGGTCTGTTTGAGGAAAATGTACCTAAAACAGATGGGAAACGTAGATATACGGGGAAATTCATGTGTGAAATATATCCAATATAATTACTGGGGTCGCAAGTGTAATCAATACTACATTGAAAAAATTAAGTTACACCCTCCCCAATCCACTGCAACAGACCGCCCCCCAATTTTTCGCCACAAAAAAAAATTAAATAAGTAAGAGTGTCCGACACCAAATAACGAAGTTATTTGTTTTATTTTTTCCTTTAGCTCCGTCGCAACTGGATCGATTTTTTAAAACTACAAAGCTGTTTTACCTTGGCATAGGAGTAACCTTGTGTGAAGATTTTATCAAAATCCTACTAGTACTTTGAGGTGGTGTGCGAAATAAAAATATTCATTTTGCAACTATTTCCGGTAGATTTTTTGTAGTATTTTAGCAGTAGGTCGCTATACATATTTGAAATCACTTAGGCCTATAACTAATAGAACAACTGAACAAATAAACAATGTGCGAATAAATGCGCGAAGTTAACAAAGTAACAATTGAAAGATTACCATTGGGTAACATCACCTTTTTCATATCGTGCCACAAAGTTTCAATAGGTGACAGATCTGGACTGCTAGAAACCCATTTCAAAAGTGGTACATTATTTTCTTTCATCCATTTTATAGCCTTTTTTGAGGTATGGCACGCTGCACCATCTTGCTCAAACACAAAATCTTGGCCGGATGTCAAACATTCTTCCATCACTGGTAAAAGCGATTCTTCTAAAATTGTCAAATATTTGTTTGTATCCACATTTCCATCAATAAAATGAAGTTTTCCTCCTCCTTTTGATGACATACTGCCACAGACCATAATGGATGCTGGAAATTTCACTTTTATCTTCAGACAGTCAACATGGAATGCTTCATTTTTTTTGCGAATAACTCTACTGCGACTGTCACCAACACAAACTTCGAATCGGGCCTCATCACTCCATTGTATTGCACACCATTGTTGAGGTGTCCATTGTCTATGTTCTTTAGCCCATCTAAGCCGATTTTTCTTTTGCAGTGGAGTTAATAGTGGCTTTTCTTTGACCTATAAACAAGTTGTGTAACTTTAGGGTTTTTACTTCACTTTTTTTTATAAGAAAACTTACCTTGCAGGTGCTAAATCCCAGTTTGTGGGCCTCTCTATGAGTTGTGGACCTCGAAATTCTGCTTCCGACAGCGTCACTCCACAGAGCACTTAATTGTAAATAATTGGCACGCCTGTTTTTCTCGATTATTCTTCTTAATGCTCTTCGGTCGGCATTTGTGATTTTTTTCACATATCGTGGCTTAATATTAACTAAACCAGTTACGTTATATCTTCTAACAATATTTCTCACACTGTACCGCAATAGGTCTAACAAAGTTGCAATTTCTGAGTTTGATTTCCCAGAATTAAAAAATTGAATTATCAGTAACCGAATTTTCTCCCTAATAACCTTTCCTCTACCCATTTTGAAAACCTTAACTACCCAAAACTATTTTAAACATATTTTGACAGCTGTAATTTATAAAAACAATTGTCATGGCTTCAGGTTGATATGCTGTAATTGCGACATGTGTTATTTTTATGCTGCAAATTTGATAAGGGAGTGATAAAGTTGGTGTTTTCTACTATATATTATCAATATATTCATTTTTAATATTTTAAACTTATAACACCCTGCTACATTTTTAAAATTTGTGTTTGATAAGAAAAAAACTAGGATTTCAATAGTTGGGCCAACTGAAGTGGGAAGGGGCTCGTATATACATCATTAACAATCAGACGAAAAGTATCAATACAACCCGAGACAGCCTGTTGTAAAAAAGGGACATGCAAAATTCAACGGAGAAGAAAAGAAGGAACGCACAAAGTCCAAACTGTAGAACTCTTTCTGATATAATAAGGTACTTTTGATTAAGTTGCATATCTGCAACTTATGACCCTCTTCCTCGATTATTCCCTATTAGAAAAAGCTACTAGTTTGCTATACTTAAGTGAGAACTTAGATAATTGCTGGATCCAATTTAACAAGAACTAACGCTGGCATATTTGTTAGTCTACAAGTCTTGTAGGTGGAAGAGACTGAAACAGTGCATGTCAGCAGAGGGTAGTAATTTAAAATATTTTGCGAAAATGAAGCGTTTTATTCCACAGTCGTCAAGGAACAATGAGGTCTTAGAATAATCCAAATAACTGTTTGCCGATGTTCAGAAAACACCTTGTATAGTTAATAATATTCCACATGAGTCCTATTACATCTTTTCAGGTAGTAACCCCTCAACCACAACAGTACAGGCCACAGCCTCAGGAGTACAGGCCACAGCCTCAAGAGTACAGACCACAGCCTCAAGAGTACAGGCCACAAGCTCAAGAGTACAGGCCACAGGCTCAAGAATACCGGCCACAACCACAAGAGTACAGGCCACCACCGCCTCAACAATATCACCATCCAACGCCAGTCCAATCACAATACAGGGTTTCACAAGCTCCACAGTATTCACTTCACCAACAGAAGAAACATCAAGATGACGAAGAGGAAAAATATGTGAGTAAACCGTATACCATTTATAGGTGTTCAACTGAGCTTTCTGAGCGATGAAATTGTCCAAAGCGATGATAGAATGCAATCAAATCTTATTGTTACTGATCTCAAAGAGAAGGCTTTTAGCTTCATTATTTCATTTGATTGGATTGCTCTCATTCGATTTTTCGTTAAAACTGAAAGCTGCAGAATAGAGCTAAGATCTCAAAACAAAAGTAGCTGGTGACGTTACGTGACTTTGAAATATAACGTCAGCTGTCTATGACCTACCGTTATCCAGGCTGTTACAATACTTTGTAGAGCATTATGAGAAGTTTTTTTGCGGTATTATGGCGGATGACACTAGAACTACAGTAATAACATTAACAAATCGATCTCCCTTACACATACATAATATGCAATCGGCCTCTATGCATGTATATTTGTGTAAGTTCGGACATACGTTTTTTGTTTTGTCTCGCCGCCTTCAAAAATTCTCTCATCAGCGTATGAGTCTTCTATATGTATGCTTGTCATTTTCTGTATGACAACTTGCTTGACATGAGGGTACGACATTACCTTTTCTTCTTCGACATAAAACATAGCAATGCTTTAAGATACAACTATAATGTCGACGGTCTGTTAAATTTATTGGAGAAATTTTCCAAAACTGAATAAAAAGAACGGTCTTCTGTCGCCCAATACATGTGTGCGTGCAAGAGCGAGTAGCAGATGCATTAAGGACTGGCTTGGGAAGTGCGCTGTTGGGAAGTTCCGCTCCGAGAATGATACAATTATTTAATCTGCTTGCTTATTTATCAACGAATTGATGACGAAACAGCCAACAACGGTAAGAAGGACTATAGACAGTAGTATTCAGCACTGTCAGACACTTCCCGCCGGCCATACCTACTACCATACATTTTAAACAAGGTTTCCTCCTATTAATTGTATTCGCTCTAACTTTGTTGTATGAACATTCAGAAAAATGTTCTATACAAAAATTATAGTCCAATATAAAATGTTTCGTGCAATGCCTTTTTTGCATACAGGGCATCAGTACTATTGACTGTCCCGTTTGAAAAAGTACAAATTTATTCGATAGGACTCATTTGAGACATCCTGTATAGAAAAAACCTAGCATGAAAAAGCTAGTGGACACTCTAATTTTTATATAAAACTTTTTCCTAAGCCGCTATATAAAGAACTAGAAGTCAATTTAAATCAATCTTGTTTAAACCGTGTCTCAGAACAGAAGTTAAGCCCCTGTGGGAAGTCTGACGTATTGAATATTACTGTTTAATAATATTTTATAATCTATTTTAAAAATCAACCACCAGAATTTGAGTAACTAGTATTATTTTTAGTTATCCTTTCTTACCTGGTACCAGCTAATCGGACCACTACCGTTACCACTACCCCATTTAGCGATTACGCAGACGCTGAAAGTAATGTCTGACAGCCTTGGGATCTTACTCTATAAAGGGATTTTTAGAATAGAAACACACGTTAATTCTGCAGTAATTCTTACTCAATTTAGTAAGCATGTCAGAAGTCGGCCCTAATGAATTTAGGAAGAATTCAAAACGAATCTTGGTATCTCACCGGTTATATGCCTACAGTATTGAATTGAATGCGACAGAAATGCCTTGTAAGTAAACTCTTCCCTAAATTTGTGAACAACTTCTCGTATTTTGAATTAACGGTGATATACAATATCATATTTTCAAGCATATCAACAATGGCTCCGAAAGCTTGAGAAAAGTAGACATAGATATAGAAACAACACTACCTCATTCGAATGAGTAAACAATCAACAAAACATCTTCCCAGATCATAGCACAACAAAAAAAAATGTATTGTCCAAATATATTGACACCATTAATTTTCTGCATTGTCAAAGATACTAGACTGATACAGATGCTAGATACCTATAGATTTCACTTTCACATATTGTTAATTATTAATGATTAAGAACCGGCACCTTGTGTTTATTGGCTCGTACATACTTTCACAACTTACACGATACGATTTCTGTGATATACATGCTACGGCACTTTTTTTACTATTTGCATAAAATCTTATTAATAATGCTTTATCTGTCGGCAACAATTGTAATAATCATAATAAATGCAAGTATATAATTAAATTAAATCATACAATTAAAATAAATCAAAATGTGGCTTGCATTCACTTACATGTGACCAACACTTCTGTGGAAAATCTGAAGGACACCAACATTTGCCAAATAAGATGCATTTAAAGGAACTTGGTTTAATTGTTTCGAATGAGCAGTTAAGGATTACAAATAAATAATACGCAATTATTATTAGATAATTGTTTCAGATCAGATTTTGTACAAATTCTTTTTTCTGTCAACATACAGAATTATTCAGTCTCAGACTGAGCGGCCGCGACATCGGTCTTTTTCGGTACATTTATCTATTAACGCTGTTCATGAAATGATCCATAAATAACTGGGTAATGAATAACTGGAATAGCTGTTCACATACAAGTCACGGAAGGATAATATGTAGGTATCTACTGATTCGTGCTTCCAATAGATATACCGATTTCCGTTTATATAATAGGTAAGGAATGATGTTCATTAAATTTTTAAAAGTCAATGATCTGTGAACCTTGATATCTTTACATGCGAATGTATCACGTATTCAGGGGAGGAAAAGCTTTTTTTTTTTTTTTGGTGAGGGGGGAATGCGTTTACGCAACATACCATAGCCCGAGCTACGGCGTGTGTGGGACTCCAGGTTGTCTTGAGGAGACCACCTAATACCCACTAAACCCTAACCTCCGCGTGGCCCGACTCATCAGCGTCTCGGTAGGCCATGTGTTGTGCGTGACCTGCGGTCTGTTACAACGTCTCCTCATGTGTTTCAGTCTCTGGGAAAGCCGGGTTGGTTCCCTTTACCTCGCACATTCTATCGATGTCGTTAAGCGATCATCGATAGAGGATCTGCTAGGTTCTCTTGAAACTCTTGTTTTCGAAAAATCAAGAGTTTCAAGTCCTCTTACCTATATATTGTTCCTGGTCCTGGTCCTGAAGGGTCCTGGTCCTGGTGGGTCCTGGTCGTGGCGGGTCCTGGTCCTGGTTGGTCCTGGTCCCGCTGGGTCCTGGTCCCGGTGGTTCCTGGTCCCGGTGGTTCCTGGTCCTCTGCATCCAGGCCGTGGGGGGGTGGGGGGTGGGGGGGAGCAACCGCGGGTTCTCCTAGTCTCCTAGTCAAGGTTCCAGTTAGCGGGTGCCAACTGGGACCTTGGTCTAAGGTACCTGGTTCTGCGGTTGCGAGGCCTCTCGTCCGGATCGTAGTCCACGAGGAATCGTAGCTGCTCGTTCGGGTGGTCCTGAGCTTTCTCGAAGGTCTTCTCCGCTTTTTTCCTCATGTATTCGTGGATGGTGTACCAATGCAGGTCTCTACACAAGGTTGAGTTTCTTACTTAGGATGGTGCACTGGTGGCGATCCGGAGTAGCTTCATCTCTAGAGCAGCAAGTCGCTTGCGGTAGCTGGGAGCAGCGTACCCTCAGACCGCGGAGGCGTAAGCGAGCTGAGGTCTGGCGATGGCCTTGATCAGCCGTAGCTTGGTCGCTAGCGGCATCCAGCTGTGTCTACCAGTAATGGGTAGAGTTGAGCCATGGCTGCTCTTGGTCTGGCGATGACAGCTTCTATTTGGGCTTTCCAGGTGAGGGACTTGTCAAATACGATCCCCAGATATTTGACTTTGTCGCTCCACTGGATATCTTCGTCGAAGATGGATGCTTCGAGAGGTCTTGCAATCCTTCTTCGTTGAATGAAGATTGCCAAAAGCTTTTTTTCAAGAGAAAACTTTTATATAGTTGTAGATGCTGTTCTTGGCGGGTTACAGTAAGACTACCAGTATCCCTTTATATATCTCCATCTCTCTCATACATATACTTGCAAACTACCCCTGTGTGTGAACGTTTGTTCGGTAAGCTTAAAGACATACGTTTTTAGTTGTGTATCTCCGACTCGAAAACTTTGTCGTTACGTATGAGTGCCCTTCAATCATATTTGTCAGGGTGACAACTTATTTGAAATCGGCGTGCAATTTGAGTTATCCTGTTATCAATCTTCAATATAAAATTGTACAATGTCCGAAAATACGATCAATGGTGAATGCCGGTAGTTCGTGCTAAATTTAATAGAGTATTTCCAAGAAGAGAATGAAAACAGCGGTCCCGTGTTACCCACTTCATGCGTACTGTAGACAGTAGCAGATCGGTATCCCTCAGGAAAATTAAGATCCGCCCATGGTACGGAAACTGGATCTGTTTACTTATTTCATAAGGCGTAACCTCCAAGAACAGTGACTACAACTATACCTAGTTATACAAACAGCATTCGTTGAAAGATTTATAAAAAATCATCCAAATCCTTTGTAATCATAAAAATATGGCTGAAGCCGTTATATAGAGGTAAAGTTTTTAAACTTGTCTAAGTAACCACTACCCTTTTCAACTTCAAAACAAAAAAATACAAACGATCAACCCACGATCTAGATCCAGATCCCATAATATTCTATACCGAATGCTACGCGTTCAGTATTTACTGTGAGTACTCTGTCCATACCATCATTATTCAGTACTCCGGGCTTGTCAATTCTTAACAACTTGATGTTTTGATAACAAGTTTTCCTTTAAATTAGATAAAACCAAGTGAAAAAACTTCAAAAGGTTGTGATGTACATTAAGCTACGTAATTTGCGCACTTAAACAAAAAATGCATGTATGTATGTTTGTCATCATATGTACGGGATTTGAATCCATAAAACATGATTTAAATTCCAATCTAACACTATGCATGGAAAATTGACGTGACTTTGCTTATATGTTTGCCTCAATCAAGGTCTTTCATTTCATACACAGAGTATAGGGGTGACGGCTTGTTCTACTTGTCTCATAAAACCCTTCAATTAGATATCTAACAGGGGGTGACGATGATAATTATAAACGCAGTTTTGAAAGGTCGCCATATTGGATTTAGAATGAC